GGTCTAGCATAGTGAGCATTGCTTTGTCTCAGTTCATTAGTTACTGCAGTTTCCTAGGAGCTTCCTTTGAACCTAATTGTGGGCATCTAAAAGTAGGTTTTCTCCTTGGTTTGGTGAGAATATGCAGCGAATTGGTAACAAAGTAAGGCCAGGAGTGGGTCAGGTTCCTTCCAGTGAAAGTGCAAAGCTCCGAGTTCACACATAGCAAAGCTCCTCTTCATATTGTTAGCTTGAAGCCAGCTGCTCTAAGTAGGAGATGGGAAGGGTTTCTGGTTGCGTAAAGTTCTTCAGCTTGCTCCGTGTTGACTCTTCCATGTCAAGTTTCTACTGGATTATTTATACTTCACAGAGTGCTCAAGGTGTTTGGAAAAAAGTCAATATTCTGGTTTATATATTTTTTAAAATTTTTGTTTTAATTGTTTTGCATATAAATCTCACATATATTGCTGGTTTATATTTTTATCTCTCCAGTTCTTTTTAAAGTATGTTTATGATCTATATGATATATTAGTACAGTTGTATACATGAATAACCAATAAACAAATAAACATATATTGTAGTTATATGCACAGGTTTGTTTTATTTTCACAAGAATGTGTTTAGAAATTTCTGCGAATACTCCTAGAGGGGGAAAAATGTCCCATTGGAGCAGTGTGAGTTGGGAACACACTTAGGACAATAAACAGTTTCCAGAAGAGGCACCATTGGGGAGATGAGACATGTTGGGGAACTTCACAGTAGAACTCTTGTCTCCCTAGAGTTTATTTGGTAGTTTAAAGGTATTTCAGGAGCTCTGGTTGCCTAGTGGCAAGAAGTTGTGCAGTTTGAATCTGTTAGATGGTCCACTGGAGAAGAAGGGGCAACTCCTCCTTCTGCCAGTCAGATCTGACTCAATACTACACAACAACAAAAAGGATACAAAAAAGTTTCAGAAACTTTAACCCCAACCCCGGGCTTCTTTTCAAAACCCATTACTTAGCCAGTAATGTGAATCATAATGCCTAGAGGCAAAAACTGAAGCTATCTATTCTTACTTTCTGCTGCTCTTGACCTGTATAAGCTTTTTATGACTACCTCTTTGTATATGGTTATTTTCTGTGGCTCTGACTTTGCCATTATTCAATTATATGAGATTTCCTTTGACTACATTAAAATTTTGATGGCTTTATATTGGCCAGCTTTTCCATTACAGTGAATTTCTCTCTTTTTCCAGTCATTTGAAGTAATCTTTCATATTTCCTAGAATAGTTTTTTCCCCTCTTTTTAATTTTGTGTGTCATTTAAGTTTGTAGTGTTTTGTGTTTTTATTTGGTGGAGAAGTGAAATAAATGATTTACTATGCTATCTTGAACTAAAACCCTGGATTTTTAAATTTGAAATGTTCATTAAAATTTAAGACTGAATCTTTTTGTTAAATTTTACAAATGTTAATAAACTTATCTTTCCTAGGCCTCTCGTCATAACTGAACTACTGATTTCTTCTTCCACACATGCGTTTTTCAAGTGTGGACCCAATCCTTGATGTGAATGCTAGCTGTCATGATTTACTTGCAGGCTCTTGAGTACCTTCTTTAGGCCAATCCTGTGAAATGGCATGGATTGGATGAGTAAGGAAAGACTGTCCTTAAATTTTACATAGTCAAGATGATACAGTACTACTAATATAATTAATGATGATATGATAGAATAAATGTACTAATAGAAAGTGCGATAGAGCCACCAGTGAACCAGTGATTGGTTATATTTAAAGGATAACAGAGGGGTTTTTCCACAGAAATCATGTTAGTTGACTTGGGCTTTGAAGAATAAACTTCTCAGCAGGTGATTAAAGAAGACACTTCATAGGCAGAGAAAATAAAATGAGCAGAGATGTAGAACATTGGAATTTATGCAGTAGTTTTCTGCTCAGTGACAGTAGAATACAAGCTACATAGTGAGTGAAGGGACTTGTGAATGAAATCACGAGCTGAGTACAATCTAGGATGTAACATTTATGTGTGTTCAGAGACTCATGATTAGCAGTGTGGCATTGCATGTCTTCTTTCCCACAAGTAGGTGTAGAGATAAATAGGAAAGTGACATTATGACAACTGCATGCTTCCAAACTGCTCTTGTTATTTGTTGAGCTCATGATGAAAAAAGAGAAGGGAAAAGAGATCTAAAGAAATTGGCAAGTGAGAGAATTGAACTGGCCCCATGAAATTGAGAACCAAAATAGAAATTTTTGGAAACATTCTTTTGTTTAATGCATGAAGTTTTGGAAAGATTTGTTCAATGGCAAGAGAATATACCTGTATTAATAAATAATTTTTGAAGTGTAGTGTCTTCTAGTTAGGATGCGATTATTGCATTAAAATTGTCTCTTTTTTTTTTAAGGTGGTCAAAACAGTTGGTTTGCGTGAGGTCTGGTTTTTTGGGCTGCAGTATGTGGACAGCAAAGGTTATTCCACTTGGCTTAAACTAAATAAGAAGGTAAAAATATTATGCCCTTAATAATAAAGTTTATTTGAAGGTGCTGTGAATTTTCAGGCAGTAAGGGAACATTTTTTTCCTTTGCCCCTGAGTATTCCCACCTTAATGCAGTGCCCCTTTTCGTTCCCTCGTCCTCTTCGCTCCCCTTGGTCCCAGGTGCACCCTCAGTGGTTCAGTTTTCACCCTTACCCTCCAGGCAGCTAGGACAGTGCCTGGTCAGCCGCCACCCATCATGCTGGTGTCGTTGCCATCAGATCCCTTCCAGCAGTGAGTCCCCCTCCCCAGCTCTTCCTCTTCTGGTCAAGGGAAATCCAGAGTCCAAAGAACAGACTGGAGCTTGCCAAGGAATGCAGGTCCCTCCCCACAAAGTCTGCTGTCTCCTGCCATGGATTCTGAGGTGCCACTGCCACCCCCTCCCCAGTTCTGTTGGATTTGCTCTAATTCCATCTAGCTCTCTTGCAGTTTTATGTGTTACTTACTTGTTAGGAGGTATGTCTGTTAATTCAATTATGCACCAACATTTAATCTTAAGGAAAAGCATTTTTATGCACTAATTCTTAACAACATTTCATCTTAAGAAAAAAATTATTTCTTTTTAATTGAAAACTTCACACGTAAAAAATTTATTCAAGCAGGTCTTAGATAAGGTACTTTGACCTTAAACATTCACAGGTTAAACTTGCCAGGAATATGATTATTAGATACAGTTTTCAAGTTACGAGTCATAATTGTGAAACTTGGCATAAATTTTTTTTCTCACACATTCTTCTATTTTGTTTTAATTACCACTTGACTCTTACTGACTAGAATTGTACTTAGAAATTTAGAATCCCTTCCACTTTCTTCCAAAAAAGAGTTGAGATAAAATAGGTTTAGTTATTACAAAGCTAGGATTTTTGCTGATCATACTCAAAATTACTGTTTCAGGTGACACAGCAAGATGTTAAGAAAGAGAATCCTTTACAGTTCAAGTTTAGAGCTAAATTCTTTCCTGAGGATGTATCTGAAGAATTAATTCAAGAAATAACCCAGAGACTTTTCTTCTTGCAAGTTAAAGAAGCCATCTTAAATGATGAGAT